TTACACCCCTACTCTTTACAAGGTTTTTAATGACCACAGAGAGATGGGACCTCAGTTTTATATCTCATCCGAAGGATGGCGCCTTTTTACAGTATAGTGTCCCCATCACTATACTGGGGCATTAGGACCCACAAGGACCGCAGAAGAGTGCCCCTTGTTGGCCCCACCTAACACCTCTGCCAGCAGAAACACTACAAATGATGCTTTGGACTGCAGTTACAGTTTCTATAAATGATTTTACTGCTGTTTATCCTGGATAAAGATTTCATTTTACAGATGGAAAATCAAAGTGTTTTATGAGGTCATATTTCCATGTGTATTAAATTTGAAGACCAAAAGCACTTAAATTATTGCAGGGCCAAGTTTCAGTTAGTATTCCATTGAATAAACAAGTAAAATATTGAGCTTTAACCACCTCCTAAAGGAAACAGCCCCAGTTTATAGCAGTGTTTCATGGAAGTAGCTGACTGAAAAAAAAAAATCTTCCTCATTTGGTAAAGTGATATGGCTGTTCTGGCCTGGAATCATGTGACTATATTTACATTTTGTCTTTCAAATGCTCTTTTTGCTCCAATACACACCAGCCAAAGGATGTTCTCTGCTGGAGCAGAAGTGAGATCATTAAAATAAGACTCTTATACTATTGTACATGTACTGTATAACATAAATTGTATATAAATGCATATATGTTGGCTGGATATGTTTTGTTTAAGAATCTTAAGTCTTAATATAAATAATTATTTTGAACATCACTGTAGTTAGGGTCAGGAGATAACCATAAGCCATAACCCATTACCTAAACAGGATTTACAACATACTGAAGAATCATCATTCACAAGTCATTTTTCCCATCTTTAAATGCAGATTTAAGTTTTATCCTAAGCTATTGGAGTTAGGTAATGATTACCATGGGTGTTCCTGTATGTTTAAATAAATTACTGGCAGAGTGTATTTTGTTGGTTTTCAAACTATTATCAAACACATGTTTGAGAAAATTTACATCATACATAAAACAATCAACCACACGATCACGTTTTCTCTATTTATTTTTCCAGACAACCTTAATATTGCGAGTCACAAATTAAAATCTAAAAAATAAATTAAAAAAAGACTTTAAATCTTTTCAGGAGTTGTTAACAGGTATTGTTGTTAAGGAAAGAATGGATGTTGGATTTTCAATTCAGTCTCCTTTATTGAAACATGTTCCTCATAAATTAGTTATGTTGTGACTCACAGTACTAGCAATGCGCTGTTTCAATGTCAGCTAAACAATATTGACTTAACCTGTGTCAGTCACCTTGAGTGACAATAGTCAATCCTCCAACTCAACTGCACTTCATCACTAGCTGTTGTAATGTGGCTACAGAGGCTCCACAGGTTTTCATACAAAACTCCATAAAAAATAGATGCATGTGGGTGGTTACATTTCACAGATTATACTTGGCAGTCTCTGTGGAAAAAATACAGATCTATACAGATATGAATTTGATCAACATTCTTCTGCTTTGGGGCATCCAGATGGTATCTATTAACTTACTAGCATTCAGACAGTGAACTCACCAGACACTAGTCCAAAATTCAATGTATGAATTTAAAAATACAAAGATTAAACAAAAGATACCATATTTTGAATGTGTATTTTAGGTTTATAAATGTGTAAGTATTTTCATAAAATGCTCTAAAACCTCAAAGTATAAAAATGATCTCAGGACATTACAGTATATAATCCTTCACTTCCAATATAGCTTTTACAACATAACTTAGAGTGTTTCTTCTGTTTTTAAGTATGCCATGCATTTTTGAAGAATATGTTTTGGTTTCATTAAAGAAGTTAAACTGCAAAATATTTCACATCCCAAAGAAAATGGTATCCTTTGAGAATAACTTTCATTTTAAAGAATTTAACCTTTGAATGTAGCAAAATTATATAACAAAATGTAAGGAGAGGACAATATCATAGAGGGAATCACATATACTGCACTCTCTCCCCCTCTCATTTTAAAGCTTCATGCACTTTACAAGCCTTGAGATTGAGGGAATTAGAGATGTGCTACTGACTTGCTGGGTAGTCTTGAGAACCAAGCTTTAAGGCAGATCAGTATAATAATGAAAGGAAAATAAGGTGATCAAGTTGATTGTAAGGTAATGTCCTTCTGGCTTAAACCAGCTGTTCTAGTGCGAAATGGTGGATTAAAACGTTACACAGAACACAGAACAAATGTCCAGTTCTTGATACCTTAATCTTAAATCACGTTGGAAGCATATCAAAAACAGTTGTGAGCAACACCAAACTAGTACTCCAAGACCACAAATGACTCTTCAAAGTCATATTTATGGTGGTATCATTGGAATACTAAGGTTAATGCACAGAGGTCATATGACGCTGAAGAGACAGCAAGCACTTTCAAAACCATGGTTCATACTACCAGTAGAATCAACAACCCTTTGCATGCATTTCTATTAATTATGATTAGTAATATGAGTCACTGGCTGCCTGCTAGAAAATAAAGGCAAAAGATCCACTTATGTGTAACAGTAATCTGCGGAAAAACAAACCTGCATTTTTTTCTCTCTTCTCTCCTCTCTCAATGCTATGTTTAATAGATAACCTTGATACAAGGTGCAGTTCAGTCTCCACATATTAACCATCAAAATGGTTACACAAATATTACCTGTGTTGTATTACGATTATCACAGTTAGAAGTTAGGCTATTTTGCAGTGAATTTGCTGTGAAATCTTTTTCTTACCTCACTGTGCCTCAGTGGACTCCAGTTCTCCTGTGCATTGGGAGAATAATTTAAAAAGTAATGCTGAACCACAAATGGTTTGATGAGTTTCCAGGTTAATGTTTAACTCTATCTTTATGAATTGTGCCAATTTCTCAGCTGCATTGTTCACTTTAGTGGTTTTGGGCCTCAAATTTTGTGAAGATGGATTATTAGATGGAACCAAAGTTTAGGGGGAGGTCAAACTCTAGTCTTGCCCACTTCCAAGTACCTAAGTAGAAATATCATGCTTCCTACTTGTACATTACATCCTTGCATTTGGAGCTTGCTTACACCAGAAACAGAGCCACTCTCAGACAGAGCTGCTTTCAGTGGCTGCTTCGGTTATACTCACTCTTCAATCCCACCACATTGCAGAAAAGAAACAAATCCACACAGATTCTGCTTCAATATGGGAAGATTCCAGTTTGTTCACCACTGTTCTCCAAAACAGTCCATCCCAAGCTTTCTCAATAAACTAACTGTACAAGCCATGCTTCTTCTCTGCCTTAATCAGAGTTTGACCAAAACCACTGAGATTTAGTTTAAAACAAAGGTATGGAAGTATGTCAAACCCTAATCTCACCCCTTCCATTTAACAGGATTCATTTTCACATCTCTCCCTCCGCCTTCTTCACCCTTGTAGCAGCACCAATGGCTCACTTTCATTAAGGGGAGGAGGGGGGTTCTGACATCCCCATTATTACAAAACAGAGCTCACTGTATCACCTACAATTACATATCGAACACCACACTCATTCAAGGCCCCTCAGGACAATTCCGGATCACTCAGATGACATCTTGTACCTCCAGCAACCTTATTTTCTGTATCTCTTGCAGTAAATGTCCAGCCATCTACATTGGGGAGACAGGAAGGAGAACCGCTTCAGAGAACTGTTAGGGCTGTGAAGATTAAAGATTTCTCCAAGCTCATAGTTTCTCATTTCACTTCTGACAGCCATGATCACACTGATCTCCCTGTCTGCATTCTCAAACTAGGGTTTCTTAACTCCTATAGCAGAAAGACACCAGAAACTTAAATTATCCTGAAACAGTTCACACCGTCCCCCTTCTCTCAACAACAGACTTGTTTTCTTCTAATTGTCTCTATTCATTTGTAGGTTTCATTTCCCACCTCTCCTCACCTCTCTCGACCTCGCACCACTTGATTGGCCACTCTGCCTCTCCCCTGCTCCCGCCTCCTCCTCTCTCCTGGCTTGTGTTTTCCCAGGCTATATTATCTTTGCTGACTGTCCTATCTTTCTCACACCTGAAGAAGGCTCCAAAGCCAAAACATTGTGCTTTCTTTCTTCTCTTTTCAGCATGGCATAAACCTATTACTTGTTCCTTTGCAGCCTACACATGCTGACGCAGCTGCCCACCTGAACTTCATCATTACAGATGGTTTGTCATTCTTTTCAATCTAATACAGCTCACTGCTCGAATCAGACCTCTCCTCCACATTAATCACAGACTGACAGTACTAAACGAATATTAGAAAATAAATAATGTGAGACCACAATAAAGGTTATAAATGAGAGAAGGTTTTTGGACTCATCTAGCCTGTTTTGTAGTTTGTAGCTATTTGATCTGAGGTTCTCATCCAACTGTTTCTCAAAAGAAGCCAACAACCCTTAAACACTTCCATGTAGATTCCACATGTCCTTTTGCTTCACTGTTGATTCCCTACACTCTGTAACCCTGTTTCTAAAGATTTATACTTTCTTCCACCCTGTGTGAAAGGTAGAAAAAAAGGGATCACTGATTAGCTGGATTGCAGGGAGATGAGGCTCAGCTGGCCTGATTAGCATGTGTCTCGAATTATACACGGGCGTGGAGTTCACAGCCTTTTCTCTTTTGTTAGGAAGATCTGAGAAACAAAGGTTTCAGAGTTTGAAAGCAAGCAAGCAAGCAAGCAAGCGAGTGGCTCCAAAGGTGGAGCCAGGTTAAATGGTTGGTGAACTTAGTAGAAGACGGAAAGTTATCCCATGCTAGAAGTAAAAATATAAAACAATAATTAAGAAGAAACATTTGAGAGGTTAGTTTTGCAGTGCTAAATTAGAACAACCAAAGCACAAAATGGCATCCCTACATTGTCACAGCTTTCAATGCCAATAAGGAATGTAAATACTTGGTCCCAAGTCCCCTGATAGTCTGTTCAAAAGGTTCAGTTCCTTTAGTCTGTCAATCTATGACTGACATTTTGAAGTCTGAATTGTATGAACTAAATGTATGACACTCCTTTTAGCCCAGAATAGATCTGGTTGCTTTTGAATGTACTGATTCCAGAACAACAATGTTTTTTTTATTATTTCTTTTGTAGGGTGGTGACTAAACTGGTACATATTTAAAATGAGAACTTACTAGTGCATTATTTTTACATAACATCCTTTGATTTTATTACAGCTTAAAACATAAACTATATCCAACATTTTGTTCCAACTTTTTATTGCTTCCCAAGTGATTTGGATCACTTAGATTTACACAGGAGACAGAACCCTAACTTTTAGAAGTGACAAGATGGAGAAATGCCACAGTTTAGACATGATGGCAATAATGAAAATTATTGTGATTAAATAATGCTTGCAGAAATACAGAAGATACCCACAAAACAGTAACAAAAATATTTTGCCATGAAGATCATAAAACTCTTCATAAAAATCTGTGACATTTGGTGTTTTGCTTATCTTTACATTTGAGCCCTGAAGATTGTGTTACATGTGCCCTTGCACAATATACTGATTCTCTGTTCAGTCAGCAGACAATGCATCCTTTTTGTCAGTTGAAAGGAAAACTTTTTTTGGTAGTGCTGATTAGAGTGTCTTTAATTCAGACATAATCCAGACAGGTTAAAGGTCATGTTTTATTATAAAATATCGATGTAAACATGTAACAAAGTAGTAATTGAATAATATTAAATGGAAGTGCAAATCAACCTTATTTAAATGATGTTAAACTCACAACATAACATTTATTGCTTTTGATTCTCTTACTCACACTTAGAGCTTGAAATTCAAATCAAAATGATAAAATAGGAAATATAATTCTTCACCATTTTAACCCCCTCTTTCCCCCCGATAACAACCCCCCCCAACATATCTAATAGAAGTACGAACCTGCGTACTAAATTTCAAGTAAGTATGCTCTTGAAGGACAAATTAATGGTGAAATCAAACATACTGCTTGCAATAAAATTCTCATATTTGTCCTAAAATAATAGTATTCCCTTACAGTGTTTGCTTTATATAATGGCTTGCAATCACACTGATTTTAGGTTTGGGTGGCTACACCTTTTCTTTAAAACACCTTATGTTTCTTTTATTAAGGCATTGCTACAGCAAATGCAGGGCCAAGCCTGGGTGGTATTCTCAACTGTATACACAAGGTTGAAAAGATGTACTCTTAAGGCAAAACCAAAAATAAAATAAAACCTAGAAAGCTTCATGCAGATTCATCACCATCAAATTGTCTTCTCAGTTTTGTTTAAATTATTCTGTTTTTAATATTACAAAATATATACATCTATGTCAGTCTTCCGGTCAGTGTCTGAAACCCAAGTCTGTGTCACACAGCATCTGGTCTTTTCAGTAAAGGCAGCAGTTCTCATTGGCCTGTCAGAGCACTGAGAGGTCGTGGCAGGACTTGGACTTCTGCTTGAAGGCCATCTTCTTGTTGTTTTTGGCCACGATCCTGCCCAGGAAGCGTTTCGCTTTCTTGCTGATGCTCTCCCGTCTCTTGCTGCTGGCCAGGCGCCGGGCGTTGTCCTCCTTGCTGTCCTTGCGCAGTCGGATCTGTCGGACGATGCCCTCGAAGAGGTCGCGCACGTTGTGGTGGAGCGAGGCCGAGGTCTCGATGAACTTGCAGTCAAATACCACCGCGCAGGCCCGGCCCTCTGTGAAAACCACACAGCGTCCGCATGTCTCAGCCTTCTCTCCCAAAGGACACCCTGCATCTCCACTACAGGAATGCCTTTCCCAGCGACATCCCCAACGATGACATGCTACCTTTAAATTTTTAAAGACAGCTCCTTCCATTTGAGCAAGCTTGTTAATTCTTTACTTCTACTTTTTATAATGGAAAGGTCAGACTCTTATCAATCCAACAATATCAAAAAATGTACATGGTATCTTAAAAACACACATATTAAATAGAAATATGTCTGCCTGAACAACTTTTGTTTCCTATATCGTGAGGCGAGCTTCAGTGCTTACCATCTACAGAGACCTCTCGAGATCGCACCAGGTCACTCTTGTTTCCCACCAGGATAATGGGAATGTTCTCCGACTGCCTGGCTCGCCGCAGCTGGATCCGTAACTCTGATGCCTTCTCAAAGCTGGCCTTGTCTGTCACTGAGTACACGATGATGTAGGCATCGCCCATCTTCATACACTGGTCCTTCAGCCATTGGCTGTTGTCCTGGAGAAATGCAGCAAAATCAGCACACATAATCGTCAGTGGCAATAATTATACAAAGAGAAACATCCTGGATATACTGTTTCATGCAATATTGCTATTATAATAAGCTTAATGAACTATTAATAATGCCTTATCACAAGGGATTTTGAATTAACGTAAGTCTGAAACCAAATCTCCAAATATCTACATCACAATTAATATTCTACATCTACTAAAGTTTCTGCTAAAAAATGAATTTCGTTGTTTTTCACTTGGTAAACCTTAACTGCAGTTTTTTTTTTGTTGGTTACTGCATTTGAGCTGTGTATTTTTATGTTAGTTAACTGACTTGTAGTTTCTCCTAGAAATGGGTGTCTGGTCTTCATGTTTGCGGGCTTACCTGTTCCCATACATCATAGAGCACGATTGAAGCTTCCTCATCGTCCACAATAATAGATCGGTCATATGTGTTGCCTACAACAAAGGTAAAGAAAGATTAAAATATTTGCCTGTGGGACACTAATCTTTTTAAAAAGATAAGCATGTAGGGCTCATCAATTGCAAGCCATTAGAAAGCGAGTGGCTGTGCTGTAACTGATAACACCTGTTAATGACTGATAGCAGGACACCTCTTAATCTTCAAAAGGGCTGTAGTTGTGCTATCTCCTGTAGCGATTTCCATTTACTTTCCGTTGGTTATCATTACTGCTAGGCTATAAATAGTGTCAACCTAAGAGAGTGATGGTGCTAAAAATAACTCGACCGAATCCAAAGAAATCAATCGGCCTCGCGTTTACTGCTCACGGGCCAAATCTAACATCTGTGTTTCACCCTAATGTGTGCCAAATTAATCGAACGTACTGTACAGTTAATGACTCCGATCTTTACCTTGGCTTTATTTAGAGGGCGAATGGAAATTTGGTTAGAAGGTAGGAGACGTGAAAAAATAATTGAGCGTCTACAACTTAAGTATTATTTCTTGGCTAGAACACAAAAAATCTCCAACCAAGAGCTCAGATTGCAATTTTGGACTGCATTAGTAAGTACGTTTTCCAGTATTTATTTTAGTAGTTTAACGGAAAAAGTCCTTAAGTCTTAACATTGATGTACGTTGTTTGTTTTCAAGTTCATCAGGGTTTAGTACGTCTGTAAAAGAACCTAAGCTTTAAGAAGGGTAGAATAAAAAATAGCGTCTCACCTGCTTCTTCACAATCATGACCGTCTTCAACCCCGCCGAATATCCGTGCCAGGCTGGATTTGCCAACGCCGTGATCGCCAAGGAGCACCACTTTGTAAATCTGTCCTTCTGTGTCGCTGCCAGAGGAGATAACAGAATCGGACGAGTCGGAGACGCAGCTGTCTCTGTGCTGCTCGCCGGGGCTGTAAGAGGTGCAGCGGACGAGGCCGGACAGCTGGTTCATCTGGACCGCGGGCATGGCCGACTGCAGTTCGCGCTCGTCCACGGGCATGCTCCTCCTGTGCAGGTGCTGCAGGTTGAGAGGGAAGGGCATACTGCCTCGCCTTTTGTCCAGATGCCGCAGTTTGTCTCCCTTGTTCAGAGTCATGTTCCCCCGGTGTCTGAAAATAACAATATCACATCAATGATCAATCGAAGTGGACATTTGGTCTTCTGAGTGAAAGAGGAACGCGTCGTTTGCCTAAATGGACAATTAATACCGCACGCAAAACATGTATGCAATATTGAGTCGTTCTGTAGTCTGTGGAAAATTAAGTTGTTCGTATCTGATGATGAATCTGGAACTCTAAATGATCTTTTTGTAGCGTCTGTATTCTTCATAAATGGTTCGTATCAGTAATAATAATTTATAATCAAACATACAGACCGAGTATTCCACAGGCTAAGCGAATTCAAACTCACAAGATATTTCTTTTTGTCTCTACTTTTTTTTTAACCAATGTACTAAAATAAAAAAACTTAACACCACAAACATTTACATTAAAAATGGTTACACAGTTTTAAACAAACAACCTGCTCTGTTTCCTTATTTTCTGTTTTAAAATCTGTAAAATAAACACCCTATTTCGGTAGTTGCTGACTTGTTTGACACACCGCATGGCCACAGTCTGAACACAGATGGTGTCTAGAATGTGTGAGTTGAGTTTACATTTTAGCGCGTGTTCTAGTAAGCGCAAATGTATACATTTAAGCAAACTACCGACACAATAACGATCAAATATTTGGAAAAAACATTTAAAAAGTCCAGGTTACGTTCTGCAGCCCAAAGCACCAACCTACTTTTCAGGTGAGTCTGAGTTATGTTCCTTGTTCTTCGTATCCTTTCCGGTGATCCTCTTGAATAGAAACAACGTTGTATAGGTCCTGTTTTATAGACTTCGCTGGCAGAGTCCTCGGTTCTTAATCTTCCACTGGAGGTTTCAGTTTAGTCTGAGCGCAGCTCTGAACCCCCTTATTTATCTGTCAGCCGGCGGAGTGACGTCAGTTCTAGGCAGGGTTTGCCTGGGAGAATCATGCGCCTCTTTATAGTAAAGTAGCATCATGCCGAGGAGGGAGGGAGAGGGGGCACACTGGAATTTCACTGTCTGCTCCGGGAGACGCGGTTCTCCTACTGAGCGCGGGCGAGGGGGCTCCTCTGACTCGCAGCTCCCGCGAGCAGCTGACTGTCTGAGCTACTGCTCCGTTATTCATCACGGCGCATCCGAAAGTCGGAAAGTGTGCTGTATTGAACTGGGAAGCCGTGAGGTTGAGATAACAATCCGCTTATGAAAATAACCTATAGATGACGTGCAAATTTCTGTAGAGAACTGGGGCATCTCTATAGAAACCTCTATGGTTAGTTTGATAAATGTCTCTGTTCTCTCCGCATACTTTTTATTCACGTAAGATTGGCTTCTACGTCTATGACTATAACGTTCCATTATTAGTATTGTTATTATTAAATTATTCGATTTTCAAATTGTACAGCTCAGCAATGTAACGATGGGTGCAACACCAAGAAGACCTTGGTGTAGCTATCTCAGCATTTACTCTTCCGTTAAAAGTAGTTTTTTTTTGGCAGCACACGAATATAATCTAAAATAATGCACATGTATACTTTTCATAAGGGACCAAAGGGTATGCATTTCTTAGCAGCAATAGGAATTCCAGTAAAACAGATTATTTTTATGGGTCGATCAGACCTTATTTTTTTCTGATTATCGTATTTCACTAGATGCTTTTTATAGGTGCCGTTTATTATACTAGAAACCTGTTCAACTGGCATCCACGCTGTAATTTATGCTAATTCAAATTGCTATCAAAGCCAGTTGAAAGATGTGCGTGTAAAGTCGCTGGAAGGGATTTTCATCGGAGGGTTACCCTAGAGCTGGGGAATCCCAGAGAGGAAATTCCATTAACTCAAATCCTTTAAGCCGCTCAAGAATACGTTGGATTTAGATCAAGGAACCTTTTGGCGCACGAATGGATACATCATCTCTTACCTTCACAGCCAGGGAATTATAGTACACACTGCCATTTTTCTAAAGTTATACAGTATTCTTTCTGTAAAATGCATTACGCCAGCATATGGCGACCTCACGTTTTCGGTGTAATAAATAATTCAACTTGTATCTGCATTAAACCTTTTTCGATTCCTAGAGTGTGCAGATACAGTATCATGCTCTTTTCTGTGGGAGGCACAGATGCGATCGAAAATGTGCGGAACTGGTTGTGCATGCCTACAATATAAAAACGATGTCATTCAAGAGTACAGATTTGCAGGTTTAGAATTTACCGTGGTCCCCAGTGAACCATGATCAAGTCAAACCATGTGTATGAAACGATGTTTTGGAATTCATGCAAGACAATTATGGTGAACTGGGAATAGCAGTCTTACCACTCATAGTTATATTAAAAAAAAACTGATATTGAAATGCATTTTTAAAATTTGTGACCACCAGCTTTGCCTTTTACCATATAATATCTAATTGACCACTCTGTTAGCAGGTTCTGTTCCTTTGCGATCAGTAGCTTTAACAGTAGCCCGTAATCATTGCCGATTAGTTCTTTGGTGTTTGGAGTAAGGTTGCAAAGGAAATCAAGTTTATTTTAGGATTAATAAAGACCTCGCTCCTTGATAGAAAAGAAGAAAGCAACGCAGAGAGTTGCTTGTTCTCTGCCGATTTTGACGTTTTCATAAAGTCTCTGACGCAGCAGGAAAGACCATAAGAAGAATCCCTGATTATGAATGCAGACGACATCCTCGCTAGAACCTCGCATGCGGAGTTCGACGTAATAAATCTTGTTCAATATCGCCACCTGCTGCTGGTTAGCATGAACCTAGCGGTTTTCACACCTTGTTCTTGTGACCTAAATTCATAGCCGTGATCGGAAGACACATACAGCTCCCACCGGGTTGAAAAAACCGTGAGAAAAGGTTGGGTAATACGACTGTAAATCATGTCTCTAAAACTTTCGTGAAGAACTTGTTAACGCTCTGAAACGTGTTGCTTTCGTATAGGCATCTATAACCATATTCATTTAA